TATATTTATTTTAAATTTGTGTGGATTCATAATTCAGGTCACCTGATGTTGGAGTGTTTACTTTTACGAATTACAATAATGACGATGCTATCGATAAATAGTATTTAATAGCTACGCGAGATTAAATTACTTGAGCCAATAATTTAATAAAGTCAAGAACTATTTTATATAGTCGTCAAATTCTTGCTTATTTAAAAAGCTAATCAGTCAATTTATAAAATAACCAAGTCGGTAGTTATTTTATGAAGTAAGCCAGGTCGCTTTGGATGTTAAAGTGTTTACTTTCACAAATTAAAATCATGGCGAAGTACTATGACTACTTTTTATAACACAGAAGCTACTTCTAACGACAGTTAAGCGCAGACTCTAGCCTTCACTAAGATCTAACTAGAAATCTGCTGATTTTAAAAGGTTACTCACTTTTATACCTTCCATCTATTTGCGAGCAGCTACAGCATAAATATGCATAGAAGTCAATATTAATAAAAAATATCAGCTATCGTGTATTATTATACCTAAATTAGTATCGCTTTAAGCTCTGCTTTAAAATACGTTAGAGCACGCTCATAACATGCAATTAACCATGATCAGAACACGATCTGACCTTTGAGCTCTTTTATAAATTAGATATCTAACTTATTACCAACAATCCATAAATATATGCGTATATGTGATATATGCCGATTGCGTATATACGCAATGCCGATCACGAAATTCCAAATTTTGGAAAAATAAGGGCTTTATTGAATCTTATACAAAGATTAAGTAAACATAGCTCTACTCTAACCGAATACTACTACTAACGACTTCCAGAACGAACTAACAGAATAATCTAAAGTTGCATGCTTTTATACTTTTCGTAGCATTCGCAGCTACAATCCGCATGGCAACCTTTTACCTTATTTTACTCATAGTTAAATATTTCTTAGTAACATCATTCTACTGCGGACCATCATTAATCTGATATGGATACGACTACAGTATTTACGTAGACATTATTCACCTCAGCCAAAGTATAATGAACTAACTTTATCCTAATATATGATTTACAGTTCTATTTTTACCTATAACCTTATTAGTAGCTCAACACCTTACTGTATATGGTCATCTATACTCTAGCATAGAGTCTATACTACTACAGCCTATAGTTATGGTTACCAAATATCTCTTAGGATAAATATCTACCGTATATTATACTAAACATGGCTAACAGTCTACAATCGCAATACTAATTTACATTACAGTATAATATAACTCGTCGCAATACGAGTACGATAACAGATGCTATACATAGATAGCATTTAGTAGTTATGCTAGGCCAAGTTTTAAGTATCAAACCGTTATTCGTTTAATAAAGCTAACTAGTCAATTTATAAAATACCGTAACTAAGTCGGTAGTTATGTTACAAAGTAATGCAAGCCGCCTTAGTTAGTTTATGAAATATTATAACCATAGCAGTTTTATGAAGTTACCAAGAAGTTACAGATAATTTATGAAATAACTCTCGATGGTTATTCTATAAAAAAGTCCTTAATTAATTTATAAAATAATCAAGGCGATGGTTATTTTGGTTATTTTATAAAATATTAACCAAAGCAGTTTTAAAAAGATACCAAAGAGTGAATGAATGATTTATGAGCCATTTTTGGATGGTTACCATATTTTATAAATATTATGTGTTACTTTATATAATAATTAAGCTGACAGTTATTTTATGAAATAATTAATTCAGTAAATTTGATTTAAAGCTACATCGCTTTTAATCGAAGGAATTTTACATCCAAAATGTATACCGTGCCTTTGATATCATAACACTCTACAGTAAGAGTACGTCAGATCAATGATCTTTACTCTCATTTAAAATGCTTGTTAAAGAACTGCATTAATCGTAGTTAGTCCGGTAGCGGTTTAATTACGTCTACTTAATTGATAAATAGCATTTAATAGCTGCATCACTTCTAATTGAAAGAATTATTCGTCAAGGCGGTATACCGTGCCTTTGACATCATAATACATCAGATATCGATCGACGACCCTCATTCTTATGTAAAACATTTATTTAAAAACTGTATGAACTCGCATATACTGGCTGTCACGAGTGATGTGCTTGAAGCTGTATTGCTTTTGTTATTAATTAATTGTTTACCTGCATTAATTAATTGCCTGGGGCTTTAAAAATTGTAATAATTAATGGAGTGTTAATTGCAATTACAGCCTACAATGTTGTGAAATGGTATTATTGTGCTTATGTGTCAAATCATTAGTAGCTGTTAATTAATTAATTGCAATTAAGGTTGCTTACAAATATTTAGCTATAGTGAACTATATAACTTATTGGTAAACAATTTCTCATACTAATGTAAGTAAATCTCGTATAGCAATATTGCACAATTGCTTATATGTGCACCACTTATCACCACCGAAAACTATAAAAGCCTGAGCAGCAGCTCTGCTAAAAAAAATCAGTTAGTTCCTCAGCTCTTGTTATATAAACAAGTATCTGCTTTAACTTAATAAACTTAATTTACAATTTTTATTAG